TCTAATCAAAATTGGGCAAGTTACGCCTGTCGATCTTTTTTCGAAAAAAAAGTTCATTTTTTTTGCACACCACTGTATATTATAAGTCTTTATTACCATTATTAATGCAATCTTAAACCACAGAATTTATTACTGTCAGCGATATGGCGACGAACACAAGCGCGAGCCTTGACGACGATGAAATTATGCAAATAGTTTTCGGTTGCAAGTCCGCTGAGAGCGACTCTGATACGGAAGATGAAGAAAAAGATACCGTTGTCAAAAAATTTTCGTTAATTAAGGTATAGATGCTCTTAAGAAGTCCCTGATATTTTTCGAACAACAAGACAACATGACTTTAAGACAGAAGCGTCAGGCGTCTTATCAACCAAATTACATTACACCATCTATCTTTACTTAGACAAACGTTTATTGAACGTTTTTTACAATAAGCTTGTAACCACGGTTCACTCTGTTGGGTTAATTGCAAATTTCAACCGAAAATAAAGTTGATAATTACTAAAGGCTAGTTTATACCGTGTAAGATTGTACAGTATTACTTATGATAAAATTCCGTGTTACATTAAATCCGACCTTATTTCATCAATGCGCGACCGTTGTCAGCAAGTAATAGACAATAATGGTGAACGAATTAATTATTAATAAAATATGTTTTTTATACCAATAAAAACCTTGCTTTGTAGCTTTCAACAAGCCATTTCATGTTAAATTTGAAACAGTTTCTATGAAGTTATTGCAAAAAAAGCAGAATTTGTTCCAACAGAGCACTCGTATTATCATTATTAGATGGGGATGGAGAGGGAGATGGAGAAGAGTCTGTTGAAACGATGTTGGCGATTTGTTTGTTATTATAATAGGTAACCACAGTATCATTGTCATAGTAGATGGACGAAGAAAGGCCAATTTTTTTCTTAACACACTGTATATGATACAAGTTCGGCTACAATCATTTCACCAACAAATATTCCCGTTGATTGTTGGGGAAATGCAATAATTTGCATACCAACGATTTGAATATTGTATGTTTTAAGTTTCTTGGCAGTCTCAACACTAGCTCCAAGATACTTCCGGAGGCTTGTGAGAAGAATGTTTACGCCAGTGTTGGAAATTTTTTCCGAATCGTCGAGAGTATATTTTCTGTCTTGTTGCAAAGGACCTCCTGATAACTCCATATTCATCACATATAAGATCTGTGGCCAGTGCATCAGCCTTCTTGGATACTGGATTCCCAATTGGATCATTTAGATGGTTTGCAGACATAGTGTCGAAGATGTCACGTGAAACAAAATGATTAACGTTCTCTAAATGCACGCTCTCTCTAAATGCAAGTGCATCGTCGGTCCCAACGACGTGCACTTAGAGAGGTTTGACTGTAGTGCCATGGGACTGAAATTAGATATTAAATGTACAAGCAACATTTACCAATCGTCGGGTTTCGTCGCATCGACAAAGAGGAGAGAATTTTAGCGATCTAAAGATTAGTACTCGAACTAAATTACTTACCGAACGAGTTCTCGGGCCTAATAGATTTGTAATTCACGAAAACACCTTGTTTTGTTTATGAAATTGTTGTAATTCGTGATCCGGTCCTTAGTAGCAAAGTTGTGAATAAGATTTAGAAATACTATTGTTGGAATACCTTGGACGCCCTATGTTTGCGCTCTAATTCGACTTTTGTTAAAGTAGTACTGTTCTTTTATTTTCATCACTAAATTTTATATTAATATTAACTGTAAAATTAATGCTTTAAAGTAATCTTTACGAAAGTAGGAACAATTTATACTATTATGCTCGCTCTCGATTATTAAATATTCGATCACCAATCTTGATTGGCAAGGCACGTATAAGCAAAGTAGTTGAATATTATCCATATGATCCAATCTATTCGTGCACTCATCCTTCTAACAAAATTGCCAATAGTATATTTCCTTGATCTTGTTTTGGGAAGAACGTTTCGATTTACTATATTTCCCACCAGATAAGTCTTGAAATGTGCACTCTTCAAGTTGAATATTCTAGATGAATCATAAATCTAGTCCAAAAACTGATTATAATAATAAGCTGGACCCCTGAGATCTACTTATTATTTTTGAGGGTATGTTTCCAGCCCAATTCGGTTTAGTGTTTAGTGTTAGTCTTGAAATCATACGTTTTCCAGTAACGGTCGCGTTCGCGAGCGATAAGCATTACGGGTATTGGATGCAGTTTCCAAGTTCTGAGCGTATAGATATTGAGAATAATAAACCTATTGCTAACAGATTGTGATTATTTTCTAATTGGTTTCCCCCTCCCCTAACCAGAGAACCGGAATCTTTATGCTTTTGCTACCATATTGATTGATATTGATGGTATGAAAAAAAATATAGCCGAGATAAATTAGGAGAAAAGCCGGTCCAACCCAATTTATATTCTAATTATATATTTCACCATGGGTTCCGAGATTAGAATTGAAGCACAAAAGTTTCTCACGTAATTCAGATTGATAAATAATAATAATAGTAATAATAATAATAGCAACAACAACAACAACAACAATAACCACATAAACATTGAGTAATCAGGGTAAAGTACGGGTAGGTAACAGATAAACAGAATGGCTATATTTTTCACAGGAATTTCACAATGGGTTATCACCCAACGCAAATGGGTAATTCCGTTATTGTTCGTAATATATCGGGAAAGCTTCAATTTCTGGACGAACGAGAATGCGATTTACCGCTATGTGATACAATAAATAGAATACCGAGTGCATGAACGGTATTAAGCATAAAACGTTTTAATGAAGAGCATCCTATAAATGCAGAACCTTCAAAATTAGGTGCGTAAAAATGCTCTCAGTCTAATTGGCAAGACGTGACATGCATAAATTTCTAAATTACGTTGCCGACAATCAGTAACTATGACGGCAATAAACTTCGCTTTTAGAACGTATTTAATTTTTTTCCCTCTTATCTGGGAATTTAATCTTTCCTTTAAGACCCACAAGCATGTAAAAAAGTTACAGCCAGTAAATCGTGCGACGTTGTATATCTAGCCTTATAAAGAATCGACTGCTGCAACTCAACAATTGAACAGGTAAATATTGAATTATGATGACATAATTTACTCTCCCTCTTACCTTTGAACGTTAGTTCACTAATTAACCCGTGGTTGACCGATACTTGTCCGGATTGCTAAACAATACGCTCCATCCGAATGGAGAATAAACTATCTTGTATTATGCGTCATAGCGTTCGGGCGCTCACGGTATAAAGGATTAGATTGTCGTGGGAAATAGTTAGACCGTCGTTGATAGAGGGAACATCATGGGTAATCTGGCAAACTCTATTTTATCGAGTAGGTGTCATCTTTCCTTGCCAATAGGCATAATGACGAAATTATAAAATCTTGTTAAAGGATAATGACGTACGACTGACGGTGTGAGAAAAACATTTTGCAAAATCTTGGCTTTCTTATAAAAACGACTCGAAAATTGGAAAATACACCTACCTATTCTTGATTGCTAAAAAAAATATGTCGGCTTTAACTGATGTACGAGAACATCGAACGCATACTGAAGAGGGCAACCTTGTTCGAAAGCCCACAATTACGATAAACCGTTCCAGATCACTTCCAGCAGAATCGACCGAAACTCCGTTGGCCCACATATCGCCAACAAAATATTTATCCATCGACGACAAGAATGAAATCAAAATACTTTCTATATTTTCCGCCTTCAAGGAGGGCAAACTGCCTTCTAATGAACAAATCAAGCGATTCCTGAATAAGGTTCTGAACATAATGAGGAAAGAAAAGAAAAAGCAGAGACTATCGGGAGAAGGCAGAGAATTGATGGAAGAGTTTAAAGGGCTCGTTAGAGTCACGATGGACGTGATATCACGAAAGAATGCCGATGAGGATTTTCAAGAACTTGTTTGGTGTCTTACTGAGGCTGCAAAGAAGAATGTTGGTACTACAAGTGAGTATATGCGTGTCATTTTTATTGTTCGAGAAGAGCCATAAAGATGGAACTATTTGAGCGAGTATATATGTAAAATACCGAAATGAAAAGATTCTCAATTAACGATTATTTTCTAACAGGTGAAGGAGGAGCCAGCGTTGATGCGAACGTCATGCAGGAAGCTCGAAAGGGTACGTAAAATAGTCGTTTTTCTTTGTATCGTTTTCTTTGCAACTTACCATTTAATATAATCGTGTTCTCTGCATGGTTCCGCCCCCCCCCCCCCCTCTCTCTCTCTGCTTTCCATAGGCGTCGACTCATTATGGACGATTACACAGCTTTTAACCACAAACAACGAATTTAGACAACTTCTTCGCGATCTTGTAATCATCATCCGAGACATGTTTGCCGACTTGACCAGTACAATTAGACCACCCGAACACGAAGTCAAACGCGCTTATAATGAAACTGACCGTCATAAGGATATCGGCCGGAGAGATCAGTCGGACATCCGTTCCTCTGGTTACAGCAGCACAGTTGGTCGGAAAGATGAATCGATGGGCTACAGTAGTAGTACCTCACCGACCCATGAAGATGAATACGGCAACAGGGAAGAATCGGACTACGAGAATGACCCAAGAAGTCCAGAGGGGCAACGTCCCGCTTACGTGGCGGAAGCTCACGAATTCGAAGCCACTGGTGATTGTAATAATCAAAAGGCGAAGCCTTTGGACAAACTTAAACAACGTCTTCCGGAAAAGCATAGACATAGGGTTGATAAGGGTGCCGCCATTGTTAGTGACAAGCTATCAGGAGATAGGAGATCTGCATTGATTAGGCGGCTTTTTAAAGTAATCACCACAGTGCAGAGACATGATCAATATCAGCAAGCTGTTGAAGACGTTTTCGACATCCTTGCTACTTGGGGTGAGCGTGCTTCTACGTACAAGGAAGATATTGCTTCCAAGAAAGATGCCGTTGAAGAAGATCCTGATTGGGTAGCAGCGCGAGCACATTTGAAGGTATGTGTTGTAAACGTGTTGGAAACAAGCTATTATATTTTGTATACTAAGGTATCTGTTTATTTAACATAAACAGCGCTTGGCCCAATCACTTGCTGCAAAGTCCCTTGACCCGCTGGAACAAGCATTTTCTGACTTGATGAAAGAAGTACGCGAAGACGCCGATCTCAGAGGATACTTTGAAGAGGTAAATGACAAGTATGATTGAGTACCGGAATTGACTTGAGATTGATATTTAATATTTGCTTTCCTGATCGATAGATAAACGTATACGTAAAAAGTCTTCTTAAAGAACCGGGTTACATTGAAAAACAAGAGAGTGTAGATCGTGGCCGCGAGTTAATGGATCGTGGTCAATTTTTGAACGACAGGCACAGAAATACCATACAGCGCGTAATCGATGAGTTGGTTAATTATACCGAAGCATTGGCTAACGATCCTCTGATGCATGAGCTTGGAGAGAGGGTCTCGAGAGTATTTAGCCTTTTGTTACTCGACAGGTAAACCGCGTGTTTTGACAGAGTCGCTTAACAGAAAAACGCCACAGGTGAATTAACGTTGGGTATTTTCTATTGTACGTGGTAACAGGCATGGCAGAATTGTGTTTAAACCGCACATCATCATAGACTTCCGAACGACGTTTATTCCATTGATTCTCAATAACGTAAACAATATTCCGATACCTCGTATTGAATTTACAGACAATGACTTTGACGTGGTGGTTGAAAATCTGGTCTTGAACAGTCCTAGCAGCTTTGTACCGAATCTTATTGAACTGGAGGCAAGTGTTATTGGAGAATGTCACATGTTTGGGTTCATGTGTTGGACTATACACTAATCACAGCTCGTTTTGTTGTATAGAATCGTAACTTCCTTTCGTTACATAACGCTGATGAAGTTCGTGATAAACGCGAACATACATGTATGTTCAATGTTAAGGGTATTCATGCAGAAGCAAGCAAGGTTTGCTTCTATTACAAAAAGAAGACGGGATTCCCCCACATTAAGGACTATGGTCTCGTAGATGTATCTGTGAGTAATAAGGATGTTTATTGATCATATATAGTTCTTTCAAGTCCTAAAATTACGTAAAATATTAACCATCATTTGCTGTTTGCTCCTAGATTCGTAATCGTGGAATATCCATTACTGGCAAACTCGTTTTCGCCAATGATGATAAGGAACACGTATACAGAGTCGAAGAAGTCAAATGCACAGTTAACGACCTGTATGTCGACATCAAAGGCAAACGACACGATTTCCTTTACTTTGCTTTCCACCCGGTGTTGGTGAGACTGATGAAACAGCAAATAGCTCGTAACATCGAGGACGCCGTATCCAGACGCCTCCAATCGATCGATCAAAGCATGAAAGGTACATTCCAGTCACTGAGAAACAAGACTCTCGATAACGACAAGTTGGGACGAAAAAGAAGTTCGTGGTTGGGTGGAATGTTAAAGAGACATTCGTCGTATGGAACGAGATCGTCGGCGTCCGCAGATAGCGATGCGAGTGAAGAAGAGACAAATGTGAGCAGTGGGGCTGGCCAAACGTATGAAGGTCATCATGACTACAACAAAGTAGATGAGACTCGCAGCGGTGAAAAGGGAAAGTGGAGAGACACGTCGTTTAATTTGGTTTGAGACGATGCATATTGTAGATTAGCAGATGCTGATTATACCCCCACGAGTTAAGTAAGGTTTGGCGATAATAATTTCATTAATTATATTTCATAAACATATTTAGTATATCATTATTGTATATCTATGAAAATTATGTGATGATATGTATTTATCAAATAAATCGTGTTTGTTCTAGTAAAAATGTCTGAATTTTGTTGTTGAATCAACATCTATTTTGTCACGTGAACAATACGCATTCAAAGCTCCATTATAGCACGAGTTCTATAATATTTATTACGACAAGAATTCTTTTATAACGCGAATTCCATTGTAACGAGATCCACTATAGCAAGCTTTGACTGTTATGTAGTCTTGATCAAATCGATAGAATCATGTCTTTGATTCCATCATAGCTGTTTACTCTGCGAATACCCTACCTTTTTAAGTTATCACAGCGAAAGTTAAGCGCTACTGCTGCGGAAACTACTGCTCCGTCTAGGGCAAAATATTCACGCAAGACAAATTTTCGTTTGAAACCGATAACGCTACTGACGGGGCTAATGTTTCTCCAGAAACGAGTACTACAAAGTGCGGGAGTTTTTGACTCTTATCGAATATTAAGTACAATTTCGGATTCTCGGGCGGTTATAGTAGTACTGATACATCCCCTTACCTTCCCCAAATTCATCAAAATTACGTTTAGCAACGGGAATAAGGCTAGGCCGGTCCATTTTAGTTCACGGAGAATCGGCCGAAAAGAAAAATACCAAGCCCGACCTGAATCAACGACTTCCCAATTAGAATTTGTTGGTCTAGTTTACTGGAATTATTATAATAAACGCAGGTAGTAGTGGCGTTACTGGCAATGAGTTTCTTTATACTCTCACGCTCCCAGCATATCATAACTACCAAAATACACTATATTGTTCCTCTAAACCAATCGTCGCATTGTGAATGTTAGACGAGCTTACATCACGAGAATAAATATCTAAAATCGAAACTTGTTACACGCTCAAGGGAGCATATTTAAACAAGTTGTGGAGGAGGGCGATCAATATTGAGTTTATTTATAAATATATTTATTTTTAGACTTTGTCAAAACTGTTAATTGTCAATGTTTTATTAATAACGTTTGGTTATTATTTATCACTAATAAAACGCATCAATCCATTCTTCACTCGTCTCCAACTTGTGCCATTTACCCTCCCTCCCCAACGACAATAAACACAACACCTCCATTTGCTAAAGAGAAAATGTCTACCGCCCTGGCTCAACAACAGCAATTAAAAACTCCCACCTCGGGTAGAATTGGTACAATGACTTCAGATCAACAACAGGTCTTGACACAATTTTGGAGAATGTTGCTAGACTTGTTTGCGGACTCTGCCCCCGCCATTCAGTCTACAAAGAATTCCAAGAATTTCCTCTCCCGAAAGAAAACTACCGACGCAACTGCCAACGACTCTTCTTCGTCCGACAAGTACAACGAATTCCGTGAACTCGCCTCTGCACTCGAACTTTATTCCCTTTCTGAACTCCGTCAAGCTTGGTGGCGGCTAAACTCATTCGATGACCCAGACAGCATTATGCTTCGATTTCTCCGTGCAAGAAAATGGGACGTAAACAAAGCGCTTGCCATGTTAGTGTCGACGTTAAAATGGAGTTTGCAGAGCGACATCGAATCTATCATTTCAGACGGAGAATCGGGACTGCAGCAATATTTTGAGGAGAAACGAATGAAGGGATTTGATCTTCAATTGACCAGCGGGAAAAGCTTTCTTCATGGATTCGACAAAGAGGGAAGACCTATTTGGTAAGGACAAGAAAGGAAGAGGAGAATGGGATCAAAGTTTGAAGAGACAAAGACATGTGTCATACGCCTTTTATCGTGGAACTGATTTTGTTTTACGTACTTTAGTTACATTAACGTCCGGTATCATAAAAAGGATGATCAGTCGCTCGAAATACTGCAAAAGTTTACTTTATGGACAATGGAGACGTCTCGTTTGATGGTCATTCCTCCTGTCGAGACAGCTTGTCTTGTATTCAACATGGATGGATTCAGTTTATCTAACGTGGTATGTTTATGCGATCCATAGATATCACATAGTATGCCGTCATAAAATACAGCCAACAACCTAAATTCACCCTTTATCCTTCCATTTTAGGATTATCAATATATAAACTTTATGATAAAATGCTTCGAAGCCTATTATCCCGAATCCCTCGGCGTCTGCCTTGTCCATCGTGCGCCTTGGGTTTTTTCCGTTGTCTGGAAAGTCATCTCTCCTCTAATCGACCCGGTAGTCGCTGCAAAGATAAAGTTCACCAACGATTCCAAAGAACTCCTCGAATACATCTCGTCGGATACCTTGATTGCTTCTCTCGGCGGTAATAATAAATGGGAATACAAGTATGTTCCACCAAAGCCGAATGAAAATGCACGGATGGCAGATACGAAAACGAAAGAGAACAAGTTGAAAATAAGAAGAGACTTGGAGAGCAAATTCGAAGAAAGTACGAGGAAATGGTTAGCGGACCCATCGCCGACAAACATTAAAGAGAGACAGGAATTGAAAAAGAAATTGAGGGAGGCGCAGATCCAGTTGGATCCTTACATTAGGGCTAGGACACTTTACCATCGGATCGGAGTGATTAAGGACGATGGTGGTTGTGATTGGAAAGTGTTGGAATGAATTTGGGTTTTTCTTTTCAAGCATGGGCAAGCGAGTGATAAGGAATATTGGACTTGGGAACAGTTTTGTCATTCAGATATAGATACATATTGGATTATCATGTAAATCTTTTTTTTCTTTTTGTATTTCTAGAACACACATTACGCATTTCATGGATATTAGTCGTAATAATATACTTGCATTACAAATGATAGATGCGCAATATCGTTAGTAATATAGACCGATTTTCATGTTGTTATATTTTGCCATATCCAATACAAGTCTGAATAATGCAGTGATATGTACAATATTTCTTTCGGTCACATAAGTTTACGTACATTCGAAGTAGAAATCTTGCATATCGATCAAAAGGCAATGAGTCTTTTGGATATAAGACCGGCACGATCAAAACTATTGAGATTCTTATGAGCCACTATTTGGAAGCACGTCGAGCTTCCTTGCCGAGCAACTATGACAGACCATGCAAGGAAGATTTCCCAGATGCTACATGAGATACAAAAAGAATATTACTCATATCGTTAGCTCCTCAATTTAAGAGCGAATCAGTATAAAGTACACCCGCGATGAAAGTCATTTATTCGATACATACCGATACCATTTATCACCATATTTCTCAACGACGGTGGCCTTGTTTTTCAGCCAGTTGTGATACCAGCGGTAGATAGTTGCAGAGTAATGAACGCCAACAGTGTCGATATCGTGAATTTCAAAACCAGCTCTCTCCAATTGTTCAATCACCCAATACAGAGGGCACGAAGCATCAGCGCCGGGAAATACATATTTGGCCATGAACAAGCCCCATATAAAGTCTTCGTACTGCCAGGTACTGTTTGAAAAAGGTATGATGATGGATCAATAGATGTTGTAACTAATTTACACACACACACACCACACACACACACACACACATATATATATATATATATATCATCAAATTTCAATAATAACACGTGTTTGAGAAACTTACCGTCTTAGTCCAGCAATCTGTAAAAAGAACAGACCATCATCGTCCAGCATCTCTCTCACTTGCAATAGGAATGTTTGGAATCGTAGAATACCGACATGTTCGGCCATCTCAAGACAAGTAATCTTGTCGTATTTTGGTTTCTTTGGCGTGTCGCGATAGTCTATACATAAAATCCTTGCTTTACTCGGGTCAACACCCCACTCTTTAAGCCTTGCATTTCCAAAGTCAGCTTGATTTCTCGCGAGAGTAACCCCAACGGAATCAGATCCATAATTCTTCGCAGCATGAGCGACTAGCGTTCCCCACCCACAACCAATATCCAAATGACGATCCCCGGGCTTCAACCTAATCTTGTCGCAAACGAGTTTCAATTTATTTTCCTGGAGTTCCTCTAGTGTTTCATTCTTGGTAGGATCTGATACTATACCGCATGTGTAGACCATGGTCTTGCCTAAGAACGCTGCATAAAAGTCATCACCACGGTCGTAAGTGTCACGAATCTGGTCTTTATCTTGTTGTCTGGAATGCCAGAAAGTCTCGGGGATCCATTGAGTCAAAAAGTATTTGAATTGACCCATACTGAAACCAAAACTAGCCCAATCGTATCTGGCTTCCAAGGCCTCAAGCGCGTCACCCTTTAAATCAATTTTTCCATCAAAGTAGTTTTCAAAAAATGTCTCCATGGGTATCTTATTATGACCTCTATATCCGGCAAGAGTCGAGTCTTTGATGATGATATATTCTTCTAGAATTTTTCCGGGAAGGACGACCCGGCTCTTGTTAGCAGGACTGAGCCATGAAGCTATGTAAATAAAAGCGGCAAATGTTGGAAGGCCCAGTATGAGGAGAAAAAAAAGGTAGGAAATGAGTCCGAAACCGATGAGATAGCTTTGGATCAAATACGGGACACCAAGGATGGTTGCCCACAGGACGTAAAAGTTGAATGTTTGGTTGCCCGCTCCTTCGATAGGATATGGGGCATTGGCTACACCCGCCCATTTAGTGGGAGTGAATTCCTTGGTATCTTTCCCCATCTAAAATTGATATGTAAAAGGAAAAGGGCACGGTTTTGAGGCATGGTCGAGGTAGTTGAAGATCAGACGGTATAAGTTGTCGACATTGTTTATCGGTGAGAAGAATGGTAAAGCGGGAACAGTATAGGAAAACATTATATATACACGTTTAAATTCGATGGATTGTAAAAAAACGATGACGAAAAAAAAAAAAGAAAAAAAAAACCGATTAATTTTAACGTGTAGAATTTCATATGACAACAATGAATGCGGAATAGCATAACCTAATATGGGCGTGACTAGTATATAGGAAAGACACTCCTCATACCTTTAGACAGTTGTAGT